ACTGGCCCGCCCTCCAGGCTGCAGGTAGTTCACGGGGACTTCCCAGGCACTTCACGGCCACTTCACATGCAGGAGGCAGGAGGCAGGATTCGGCAGCAGCACTCTGGAGGAGCGCTGCAGTAGTAGTAGTAGTGTTAGGAGTAGTGTTCAGTGTTGGGCACTATTAGGAGCTTAGAGTAGCGTTGGAGAGAGAGAGAGTTGGCGGAGGTCAGGGAGACTTCGTTGGAGAGAGAGAGAGTTGGCGGAGGTCAGGGAGACTTACCTGCGGCGCCATAGCTCCAACTTCGTCTTCGATGTACATGCAACAAGGCGCCAACTTCACAGGTTAGTACCGGAGAGAGAGAGAGAGAGAGAGAGAGAGAGTTCTTCTTCTTCCTCTTCTAAGTCCACCATCTCTCCCTCACCCTCTCGCTACCTAACTTCTCAACATCTGCAGCCTACGAGAGAGAGAGAGAGATTGGGACTTGACGACATTTGGATTCAGACTCAACATTGCGATCGAGACATTGGACGAGGGATTACTTGGGGCGTGTATCGAAGACACCAGGACCAGATGCTGGCGAACCCAGCAGTGCAGCCTCAACTTGCCAATTGGAGCAACGAGTTGACCATGTAGTCGCAATGCTCGGAGACATCAGCACCTTCGCCGCACCAGCCACCGTCAGCGAGCAGCTCGGTGCCTTGAAGATCGAGCTTAGGCAGCTACACCAACCGCCCGACAACGATGGCAGCATCAGTGCATCACGGCCATACAAGCTGCCCACTTTTCGGATCGAGAAATTTGACGACTATACACATCAGGACACAGTCATCTGATGGCAAGGCTTTATGACAAAGCTTGGGATTCATGACGTCCCCGCTCACTTGTACATCTCGGTGTTGTTCCTCAACGCCAAGGGTGGATGCCAGATCTGGCTCAGCCACATGGCAACCATACACGGCGTCCAGGTCTCCGATGTGCACAAGAAGATCTCCTGGGACGAGATGACGAGGGAATGGAAGAAGCGGTCCATTGTCGACGACGCCCCGACGCTCGCCGTTAACCGCCTCTTTAGCATGACTCAAGGCAACCCACTGACACGCAACTGGCTCATGAAATGGTAAAAGATCGTGGCAACACCCGATCTTGACTTGGCATTTTCACATCTACGCTGGGAGCTCTACAACCAGTCGTGTGCCGCCTTGAGCCTCGCACTTGGTGATCGAGAACAGTACACGACCTTCGTGGAAATCATCAACAAGGCGCGTGAGATCATCAAGAGCAACTGGGCTGCTGCGCACGAGAAGTCAGCGTGGCAGCCAGCCTATGTGGAGAAAGGAAAATTTGGTCCGTGTCCACGGCCAGTTGCTGCAGTCCAACCAAACAACTATGTGGAAGACCCGACAACCACCCCAACATCACGTGAGGGAGATCAGGTGGCCGTCGTCCAGCCGCGAAGCAACAACAACTCCCGTGTCAAAGGGAAGGTGAAAACATCATCGTCGTTCGGAAATGGACAGCCAGTACCTTGGGTCAAGTTCAACTTGACCGAGGCCGAATACAAGTACCGCAGCCGATACGACTGCTGGTATTGGTGCAACAACACCTAGTTCGACATGATTTTGGGCATGTCATGGCTGTGAAGCGAGGATAACCCGGTGAACTTCTACCACCGCAACGTTCATGTTCGTGATCGGAACGAAGTACTAGTCCCATGCATGGTGCCTCCACCTCACCCTTCGATCAGCTGCCACGTGACGTCCGCCGCAAGCATTCAGGCTTCCATCACCAGGGACGACATCGAAGAGATGGGGGTGTGTTTTCTACACGCCCTCCCTCCCCAAGACATCCCATCGACGGACGCATCGACTGACCCACGCATCACCAAGCTTCTCGACGCCTATGGCAACGTGTTTGAAGCCCCACACGGAGTAGTACCGAATCGGCCCATCCGCCATGAGATCACCATCGTGGCTAGGGCCGTACCTCCGCGTGGTTGCATCTACCGTATGAGCGAGGAAGAGTTAAGTGTGCTACGGGCACAACTCGACGACCTTCTTGAGAAAGGTTGGATTCGGCCTAACTCTTCGCCATACGGTGCTCCCGTTCTCTTCGTCCGGAAGAAGAACAAGGACTTGAGGGAGGTTGTGCATCGATTATCGCAAGCTCAACGCGCAAACCGTCAAGAACGTCGGCCCTCTTCAACGCATCGACGACCTTCTCGAATGGCTGGGCGGCGCAAAGTTGTTCTCCTAGGTGGACCTCAAATCGAGATATCACCAACTCGAGATCCGGCACGAGGATCGCTACAAGATCGCGTTTAAGACGCGATATGGGCATTTCGAATGACTCTTTATGCCTTTTGGCCTTACAAATCGGCCACGTTCCAAGCGGCTATGACAACGGAGTTCTGACACATGCTGGATAGATTTATACTCATCTACCTCGACGATATCTTGGTGTACAGTCGGAGTTTGGACGAGTATGTGGAGAACCTGCGCACCGTTTTGGAACAGCTACGACAAGCCAAGTACAAAGCCAACCGCCACGAATGCAAATTCGCACAGCAAGAGCTCGAGTACTTGGGCCATTTTGTGACGCCGCAAGGCATCCGTGCGCTTGCGGACAAGATCGAGGTCATCCGCGTATGGCCCGAGCCCACCAACACCACAAACATTCGCTCATTCATGGGGTTGGCGGGCTACTATCAAAGCTTCATCACCGGGTACTCAAGGATTGCCGCACCATTGACGAGATTACAATCGCCAAAGGTGCCATTCGTATTCCATGACGACGCGCGCCGATCATTCCAAGCACTCAAGACGGTCATGCTCATGGCACCCGTCCTTAGCATCTACGACCCCACCTTGCCAACGAGAGTGACAACCGATGCCTCCAACTATGGTATTGGGGCAGTCTTGGAACAAAAGGACGGCGACGACTCGCATCCCGTGGAGTACTTCAGCCACAAGGTGCCTCCAAGGAAGGAGCTGCTCGCGTTCGTAATGGCTCTCCAGCGATGGCCGCACTTCCTCCTTGGGCGTCGTAGGTTCGCATGGGTCATGGATAACAACCCGTTGACCTACTACAAAACTCACGATACGGTGAGCAGCCCTATCGGGCGATGGATGTACTTCACCGACCAATTTGCCTTCACACCGAAATATATCGTCGACCTCTCCAATCGTGCAACTGATGCACTCTCACGAAAACCCGATCTTTGCGCAATGATACATCATGCCTTCACATTCGACGAGGAACTTCAGCGGCATTTCATTCGGGGTTACCAGTCCGATCCGGATTTCGCCACGCTATATGCACAGCTATCTTCGGATCACCCGTCGGCCAGCCATTATCGCATCGTCGACGGGTATTTGCTTCTCCACTCGCGAGGCAAGGACTTATTGTGTGTCCCACGAGACTGTCGTCTTCGGACTCGCCTTCTCGGCGAGCACCACGACTTGCAACTCGCCGTCCATTTCGGAGTTAAACGGACTATCGCACGACTTCGACAACGATTCCGGTGGCCCGACCTCATTACCGATGTCACTCGATATTGCGACTCTGGCGAAGTTTGTCGTCGAAGCAAGCCCCGCAAGCGCAATCCCTACGGCGAGTTGCGCCCGTTGCCCAGCCCATGGGAACCCGACCTCTCCATTGTTATGGACGTCACCGGTCCGTTTCCCCACGACCGCCTCGGGCACGATGGCATCCTCACGGTCGTTGACCGATTGAGTAAATACGCGCGATTTCTCCCTTGCAAGTACTACGCCACGGCTCCCAAAACTGCGCGCCTCTTGCACACCGGCTGGATTTGCAGCCACGGTGTACCGGAAGACATCGTTAGCGACCGTGACACTCGTTTCACGTCGGCGTTCTAGACTTCTCTCATGCAGGAATCCGACAGCAAGATGAAACCAAGTTTGGCTCGGCATCCACAAACGGATGAGCAAACAGAGCGAGCACATCAAACCGCTGAAATGATACTTCGTAAGCTCATCTGTCCGGATCAAAAGGATTGGGTTGACCGCCTCCCCGACATCGAGTTCGCCTACAACACTTCGTTGCATCCGGCGATCGGCGTACTCCATTCGAGTTGCACCACGGTGGCCCGAAAAGTCGTATCTTCGCTGATCTTCTCCTTCAACGAACAGTCGACATAGATGCCGCTTGCTCTCCCGCCTCAGTCCGGAAGTACAGGGAATGGCTGGCTCAAGCCCGTGCAAACATGCAAAAGGCTCAAGTCCGCATGTAGCAGCAAGCCAATCGGCGACGCGTACCATGTCCTATCCGCGCCGACGACTGAGTTGGGTCTCCGCAGAAGAGTTTGCACTCGGACAGGATGTTTCATGCAAGCTAATCCCCAAGTGGTTTGGAGCATGGACCGTCCGTTCAGCCGCAGGCGACGAGCCTGACGACCCATCCTTTGTGATCGACATCCCTCCGCATCTCCTCGTCCATCCAGTCTTTCACGCCTCTAAGCTGGCGACACACATGTCGGCAAAGGACGATGACTTCCCGGACCGGCGATCGCAAGACCCTCCGTCAGAAACGAGCATTTGTTTTTTGAATTCGCACTTTGCCCAACCCACCCATAATTTTTTAAGCACCACCCGCCCTCAAAAAAAAAAAAAAAAAAAAAAAAGACCCAACCCACCCGAGTCCCCTTTTGAAAATTTCCTCCCACACCCCCCCCACCCGTCACCCGTAAAAAAACTTCACCCTGGCCCACCCACCCGCGAGAACAAAATTACCCGCCCGCACCCGGTACCTAATTATTTTTTACCC